AAACATAGATACAATAATCACGATACTACCACATACTTTATTCTTCCACGTGTTGTTTAATTCTTCAAAGTTATTGAAATGATATCTGTGTGCATTACTTATTATATTATTTTATTTCATACTATAATGCATGATCATAAAGTATATTAATAAATATATAAATTGATTCGATTTTTCCTGAATGATTTCGATATATTTCTCTTTCATAGTGCATGAATCATAGATGAATGCACTAATTTCAATATGCATTTTTGAGTAATCGAAATTGTCTATGAAATGTTTTCAGAACTTCTTGATCGATTCGAGTGGCTAACACAAATGATTAAAACAAGATTGAAATATATTTTTATTCTTGGAATATACAAATACTAATGAATTCTGAAGTCTTAGAAAAAACAACATCTGAATATGTCGCAAAAATTTTAAAGTATATAAGACAATTTTTACAAAATTAAGGTTTTTAAAAGTATATAATATTTCTAAAGATGTTAGTCATATTCAAAGTTAATCGTTGTTATTACTTCGAATTTAGAATGTAATTGTTCATGAAGAAAACATTTTTGAGAAATGAAACATACATTCTAAATGTGTATTGACAGCTGGCATCTACTCATATATTAATTATAAATTTCAACAAATGCTGTGCGCTATGTAAGCCTCTTATTTTTTGCCTGTGTAATACTTTCACACTCAGTTGCTAAGACTTATAGTGAAGAGAAGAGGTGGACAGCTGTTAATTTTATTGAATTTTTTATTGTCCCATTGACGTCAACATAGAATAAACGCTTTTATATTAATCATTAAACGAATACTAGAAAACTGAATTTGGATCATATATTTATATATTGTCTCCAATACTCGAATACAATTCATAAGAATTGTACGAAAAATATAAAACATATTAGAAAGACTCGACTTTTCATTAAAAAGGACTTTTGAAAGAGTAGAAAAGAAACTTATTTATATACTTAAGATGGTATTAACTGAATTCATGTATTACATGCTCTGCCGCATATCTGTACTACTCATCCTCGTTTTTTTGGATGTTTCTGGCTCTTGAAGATTGTATAATTGATCTATCTGAAACTTTTACGATAGATAGAGCATATAAAATAAAGAGATATGTGTACAAGGAAAAAAAAATTTGAACAAAGTTTTCGTGCTTTTTTCAGGAAAAACTGTAGTTTCCATAGAATCATATCGAATCCGCCTACAATTGGGTCATCTAACTTTCTCTGAAAGGACTGAAGTTTTTACTACAAATAGTTCGAAGTATTTTCCAGAACTAAAATCAGTCGTTTTCGACTTTGGTCCTTCAATCAGGAGTTTTAGCCCTAAATGTGAGCACTCCGATTTTCAAGGTAGACATCTACGATTTTTTCTCATAAAAGAAAATAAGAATGTAAGACTTTTGAGAAGGCTGATCTGATACAGTTCAATGAAAAATCAAGATTTGCCAGAAAAACCGCTAATCATAAGATTACTAAAATGATCCTAGAAAATGAATGAAAGCAAATTTTAAAATCCTGTTCGCATATCCACCCGAGTTCTTCTCAATACTCTAAAAGAACGATTAGTGAGCTACAACTTTGGCCTAGTTTGATTATCGAACTGAAATTTATACTAAAAGAGTTTTTCACTAGAGCTACTGCTGAGAATATCAGTTCAAATGAATCCTTTTCTAAGAGGATCACAGACTGAACTTAATGAATCGTTCAACTATCAAATATATCAATTAATTTTTTTGTTCAAAATTTCTTAATTTGTGAATCTGCTGATTTCTCTGTAAAGAACAATATGATCATGTGACAAAAAAATTCTCACCAAGAAAATCTGCTTCTACTATTTGATGTGCCAATCTTTGTCATTTTCTTCAAACTGTTATTCGGTTTATATATTCAATTTTTTAATTATTTGAAATCTTTATTAATACTCTTTTCATTTTTTTGTAGAAGCTGAAAAATTATGTACAAAATGTGCAGAAAAATTCAGTCAAGAAACAATAAGCATAAAATTATTAGCTGCTCAAATGCCATTATTAATTACATCATTAGAAGTAATAGAAAAAGAAAATTTTTGTTTTTAATCTTTTGAAAGATAAAATTTATTTAAGATATTAAGTCGATTAGCAGACAAATATCAATCATTAGCAACATATTCTATTCGAGTGTTATGTGATTTTTTAACTGAACCTTCACCATTACTTTTTAAATTATATCGACATACAAGTCAGAAACTTGATGAAGAAGAACAAAATTCATTCATAACTGACGATATTAAAAGTTCGAAAGAATATCGAGCATTTCAAATATTTGAAAAATTACGAGATTCAGCAATTGAAGGAATATGCAAGTTAGTTTTCTCTTTTATATAAAATCTTGTCAATTAATATAACTATTATTAATATAGATCATTATTTATTCGTTTGAATTCGGATCCAAAATGTGTTGAAGCTTTACTTACACAACTTTCAGCAAGACTTGCTTCAGGACCAATTAATGATAAGTAAGTCAAAATGAAAGATTCAAGATTTTTTTATAATGTTGTATAAACTTTATATATATATATATATATATGTATAATATTTTTAATTTATTTGATAATTATCTAATAAATATTTACAGTTCCGATTGGATGTTTAATATTGTACTGCTTGATGCAGCACCACTTAAACGTCGTACATCAGTGCGACAAGATATTGATAAAGAAAAATATGGAAATCTATTGTAAGTGAGTAAACTAGTAAAATTCTTCTATTTACTAGTTTCCTCAGCTTTTTCTTGTATTTTCTTTTTGTATATATAAAGCTTATGTTGATTATTGCTTATACACTCTCACTTACCCTTGCATCTATGATGATTCTACTGCTTTTAAAAATTGTATAGATACTTTTAGTAAAAGCATTCTGATCTATTGTAGGTTTGCAAAAGAAATTCAAACTGTTCAATTATGAATAGAAAAAGAAAAGAATACATCATAGACTCGAATTGTCTCTAATTAAATCTGACAGTATGCATGTTCTTTATCATCAAATTTATCTTCTAATCAAATCTAGAAAGAAAAATAAACAATCGTTTCTACTATGCGGGTGTTTGTGCTGTTAGTTAATAAATATATATGTTCATGATAAGTTTTTTTTCACATCTTGTACTCTGCCTGTGAACGATTTTCTTATTCTTACCCTATGCTATCCTGCAAAAAACATCTATCTTTACCTTATTTTACGAAGCTTTTATCTCACTCTTCTTTAATACTACTCTAGTCGAATTTTTGCTGCACAATGATTTTCTTAAAAAAGAATTAATTTATATCGACGGATGTTAGCGGTATAGTAGTACAGCACCATGTCTTTGATACTGCTTCTATCTCTTATATCTTCGATGTATTTTTTGTAGATGTTTCTTTTTTTCTGAATTTGCTGCAAAGTTAAGTTCCTCATCTTTGGAAGTAATAAATAGCAAATTCTACATATCTTTATTAGTTAGTCTAGACATACTCGGGTGAATTTAAAGCTTTCAGTGTCCAACTAATAAATTTAATATAGAGGCTACACATATCGATATATTCGAATTTTACGGTATTCACGGTATATGTGAAGTGCTCGCAATTCAAAATTATTAGCGAAGTGTTTTTGGTAGGAGAGAGTTCATCGAGTTAAATAAGAAAAACTTTTACAAAGATTAGAATTTTGAGTTATATTTCTCTTATAGTATTTGAAAAGAATAGTATCTTGAACACTTTTTCGTGAAATGTTCGTTCTTTTCATTTGAAATATACTTTTTCTTATGGAATTCTATCAACTGTCTCCGATCATTTCAAAAAAAAAAAACTACGCTCATAACTTTGAATTGGAAGCATCTTACATGTCTACCACGAATTTATCATTTCATCACAATAGTAAAATCTATTAGAAAAAGTGAAACCTAAAACATTCAATCTTTAGAAATTCGAATACAATCGCGTATTCAATGAATTTTATCGTATAGATAATTGAAATGATTTACTGATAATGAAAGCTACGAAAAATTTGCTTTCTTGTAATTGTATCATTGCTTTCCTACAAAGTACAAAAACTTCGCTTTAAGTATATCTTTAAATTGAATGGCTGGAAAATCTTCAAAAAAAAAAAAAGTCATTCTAATTTATATTTGGATTAGACAAACATCATTGGTTTCTCATAATACAATTCTTACATTGGGTCATATGGCAATAGCTTTAAAAGATGTTCAACATACTCAACAATCAATTTTAGCTCGTTTTCAACAACGTCTTGGTGATCCACCATCACCACTTGATATTCTAATTATTAATCAAATTGGTTGTATGCTTATTTCTAGTCTTGTAAGTCAAGTTTAATTTACTGAAAAACAAAGAAAGAGAAAGATCAAGAAATTAAGAATCGAGCATTATTTAGAAAAGACAAATGAAAAATACAGGGTATTCATTTACATTGCTTTTCGCATTGTTGTTTATTTTTGCGATTTTGTTTTCATTAAACAAGAAAACAAATTGTTCTATTATTTCCTTTTTTAGCCTCAAGCAACTTATGAGGAAATTATCAGATTATTTACTGAGATAATTATCAATTCTACTTTTCCAATCAATGATAGTACAAATGAATCAACAACTACAGGTCGACATCCAGTAAAATATAAGTATGTTGATTTCAAATATATAAAAAAACGAAAAACAAAAAAAAAATTTTCTGATTTTTTTAAAAATTTTTTCTTAGACAAGCATCAAATGCAGTAATTAATGCATTAGCTAATGTTGCTGCTAATATACAAGGAACAGTAGAATTAATGAATCTCTTAACTAGTATACTAGAATTATTTGTTCAACTTGGTTTACGAGCAAAAGATGCAAGTGAAAAATCAACGAAAAATGCTTTAAAAGTAAATTTATTCTTATATCTATTTTAATATTATCTATTATATCTATTGAAAGGTTTCAAATACAGCTGGTAGTCTTGGTGTATTGATACCAGTTATTGCTGTTGTTATGCAACGAATTACTGTGATAAGTGATCCGTCCGAACGTGTTTTTCGTTTATTTCAACGTTTTTGGTTTTATTGTGTTTTATATGGATTTGCTGACGCAGAAGGAGGTTTATGGCCAACAGAATGGCATGATTGTGTTAGATTAATTGCAACGAAATCACCCACATTAGTTTCTCAAAGTGTATCCTATGTACCATTAAAGGCTGCAATGCCATTGAAACCCGAACAAATTACGAAAGTAAATTATCATAGAAGAGAAAACAATGAAGTTTTTAATATGATGTCATTTTGTTTTTCTTCTATAGGAAGATAATACTGGCTTAAAATCTAAATTGAATGCTATATTTTCTACTTATCTTAATGCTAAAGCATTTATTGATCGATTTGGTTTTGAACAAAGTGCTTATACACTTTCGGTTTATTATCTTGAAACATATCGGTAATATTTTAATAATTAAGTTTTAAATAGAATATGAGTTTTGTTCTTTTGTTTTATTTCATTGATTAAATTAATAGACACATATACATAAGAAATTCTTCGAAAAAAATCATCTGTCCATTAGTATTTGTTTTCTCTTAGGCAAAAATACATTTTTTTTTAAAATAACTAAGACACTTATTTACTAATAAAAAAAACCTTTTTGTACATATCTTTGCAAGATTTCAAATGAATTTATAAGAGTTCAGTTGAAAAACAAGACATTTTTTAAGCGAATATTACTATTTATTTTGTCTGAATTTTGTGAAATACGATGTAAAAGGAATGTTAAAATATATAGAGTAGAAATTTGCATCCCACCCTCAGTCATAGTCGAATTCTGTGAGTTCTTAACACTCTTAGAATTCTTAAAAATGCAATTTCACTCGAAGAACTTACAGATATCTAAGAACTCTCAGAATAATATGGCTTTCGGTTCTCTATACATCCGAGAGATTCGTCAGCGAATTTTCACTTTTGAGAGTTCCAAAAGTTCACAACTCATGGAATTCGAACATCTCTCTTACAGACCATAATTATCATAGATGAACTATTTCGTTGTTGTTGAATTTCTGTAGGGTTGAGTAAAATGATTGTGCTAAGATTTTTATTTATATTTAGAGTTCGTTATTCACTTGTACCATCGGCATTTCAATGTATTTTTTCTTATCTCGAAGATCCAGGTTTAATCAGAGATAAATATGGTGACTATGACATAAAAATATAATCTATTTTATTTTTTAATAACTTTATTTTTTTATTCTATAGGCTTATGGACATTGATGACAGCAGTAGGAAGAAAATGTTTTGATATATATGTTAATGAAATGAAAAACTTTGTAAGTTTGAAAGATTAATATTAACATGTAAAAATATTTTTTCATTTAAAGCCAAAAAGTCCTGAACGAAATAAAAATCTTGAAGTTCAATGTCAATTTTTTATGGTTAAACGAACACATGTTCGAAATGAAGTACGAGAAGAAGCTAAATATTATCTACATTCATTATTATCACAAAATGCGTAAGTTTATTTCGTATAACTTATAGAAAAAAAATCATAATATTTTTCTTTTTTCCTTTTATATTTCAAGTTTTCCAAATTTATTCTGTAATTCAGTTATAATTGAAACTTTAATGAATATTATTGATATTCTATCATATTCATTAAATGAAGATAATTTACATAAAGTTATTGCACATCATCGTGTACCAAATACAAATTATACTGTTCAATTTGTTGATACTCATGAGAAAAGATTGGTTTGTTCATCAAACAAAAAATATTTTTCAAAAGAAACACCTTCACTTTCTATAATTCAATAGGAACTTTTCAATGCATTTGTTGATTTTGGTCGCATGTTCACTGAACAAGCTTTAATGATATCACAGACATTAGTTAAATCATGCATTCAAGTAAGAATTTAAAATCTACTAATAGTACAAGAATAGACTAATAGTGAAGACAGTAAACTCATGAAAAAGTTATGATGATCTTGAATTGATTTCGATTGGGAATGCTATATCAAGAAACAAGTTCAGGAATTAACTTCTACCAATTAAAAAAGTCAAAATGAATCTAAGATCAACGTAGTATGATCATGCATTCACAGTTATTCAATTATATATGCATGTTTACACCAGTCCAGCGCTTTACCTAAGATCGATACACTACTATTAGGAATGAACGGTGGACCAGTAATCACCGTCATCAATGCATATCTAGGCGAATTGTAGAACTCAGACGCAATTATTCATATATATCTTTTTATGAAATTTTAAGCTATGATCAACATTATCTTTCAGTTAAATTTTTCATGATTAAAATATTTTTTGTAATTAATTTCATTTAGCAATATATGTTTAAACTTGAACAAGGAAAAAGAAATTCAGATGCTGTTCGTCAACATAAAGGTTTACATGTAAGTCTTATCGAAACTTTTCTCGTGATTATTTATCTATTTCTACATAGGTTATGTGGGAATATTTAAGTACATATTCAAAAACAGTTGATGTTAATGTAAGTGTATATTTTTGTTTAATATCGAATTAATTTTCTTTAGCAAAAAAACTAAATAGGGAGCATCTAATGGAAATAAATTGTACTATCGAACAGATTTTGCTGATTATATGATATCATTAAGTGAACGAAATGCAGCCGTTGGATTTGTACGTAATATCAATGAAATATTTTCTTATATTTTTCATTTTAATAATTAATAAATTTTATTCTTAGGTTGAAGGACTTGATCGTAATGATTATCGAACAGCATTAAAACAAGTAAAAGATGACATGGAAAATGCAATTTATAATCGATTGAGTTCACTTGATAAATATAAATCATTACAACAACGTCGTCGTCGAATGTCAATTGTTGCACCTGTTAATGATAAAGGTATTGCGTTGGATTTTGAAGAACGAATTGCTATTTGTAAGTTAATTTATTTATTTTATAGTCAATATATTATTTATATTGATTTAGTTGATAGTAATTTTCGTAATGGACTTTTTAAATTAACAGCAATGTTAATTCATAATATGGACTATTTAGGTACGACTAGAATTTAAATATTGTTTAAAAATAAATTAATAATTAACTTTAGATGACAATGAAAATGAAATGAGATTTACAACAATGGGTAATAGACCTCATGGAACTGATACACCAAAAGGTATTTAATCAAATTCGTCAATTATTTATTATATTTAACTTTTTTTTTTAGAAAATGTCCTTGATCGAGATATGGTTCATGCATTAACATGGTTACCAGTAAAAATGTTTACAACATCTGTTATGGAAGCTGCTGTCGATTGTTGGTCTTGGGCAATAGTTGGTCGACCTGAACTTGAATTATTAGTAAATTTATCTATTTTTATTTTCTAATAAAACGTATCTAATTCAAACATATAGATTGTTGAAGAGATATATAAAGTTTGGGAGAAAGTTATTAGTGATCGTCAAGGTTTATATTCAATTGATAAACCAGAACCGTCTCCACTTGCACCATCAGAAAAAGAAGAACTAAAACCAAAACCACCATCTGTTAATCCACATCGAATATTTTTTAAAGTAATCATTTAAAAAAAAAAAACTAATTTTTTGTAATGTCATCTATGTATTTTTCTTTTTTAGTTTATTGAAGAACGTGTTTATTTATGTATGCATAAAGCCGATATTGAAATGGAAATGCTTGTTGATTTATTACATAAATCTCTTTCATTAATATTAGAAAATCCAAGAGCACCAATGACAAAACATATTAGTGCTGTTGGTCTTAGATTTCGACTTTTATATCTTACACTTTATCTAGTACAAAGTGATTATTTAGCTAATGGTATAAGTAAATATTTACTTCGAGAAAAAGTTTATCATACAGCATTTGATTATTTTACGTAAATATCAAATAAAAACAAAATTTTCTTGTTTAAAATTATGATATTATAGTGTTCGTCATCATTGTCCAACTCAATCACAAAATGAATTAAGAAATGATATTCGTAAATTAATTCGATTTTTTTCATTAGTTCATGGCGAAAAAAAATTTTGTAATGATTCAACAACAACAGGTTTGCTTTATTCATCATAAAGATTTTTTGAAAGTTTTTTTTGTTTTGTTTTGTCTTTGTTTAGTTGATATAGAAAATGTATTATCAAATGGAAACTATATTAATGATGCAAGTGATGGTTCATCAAGAACTGGAGCACCAACAGGATGGATTAATTCATTAGCTGGTGGTGGTGGAGTTGTGGCAGGAGTTGGTGGACAATCCACTCTTAGTCGAAAATCTGGTAAAGACTTAATTTGAATGTTTAGCATAGACATGAGATATAGAATTGTACAGAATCTTATCCTTTTCGGTTCTTTTGGAGAACAGCTCATCCGAAATAGCATTGTTCTGAGTTGCTGATGTTTTATCTTCATCCATTTGAATAAAAAAACTAAAATCTTGAGAACATCCTTAAAAATTCATCTTTTTTGTAAATTCTAGCAAAAATCAGTGGTGTACTGTGTTTAGAAATAAAATAAAACGAAGACTCGCTCAGATGAACTATGGATTGGAAATAGACGTGATTCTCGAATTTATTTTTATGAAAAAACTCTTTTTTTTTTGTTCAAAAGCAACGAAATAATGTGCAAAATTTTTCAGTGATAAGTTCCATTTTTTCCGGCTTATAGTTAAATATGAATTTTTGCAATATGTCGGAGAGTATATGGAGCAGAAGACAAAAGAGACGAGTTGTCTTAAGTGTAATATTTACGAAATTCCTTAATTATCCTAACAGAATTATGTTAGGCTTATTATTTTAAATGAGCGACAGCTACAATGAGATTGCCAGATCTCTTTAAAAAAAAGATTTGAAACGATAGTCTACAGATAAAGAGTTATCGATGTTTTAATGAAATTTTTAATTAGATTATGACATTACCAGAAAATCCAAAACAAAGAACTTCGACTTGAAACTTGGCTTATAGGTACGTTTTATGACTATTAGATTGTCCTGAGAGTTTCAACGAAAATGAACAAGTCTTTCTCAAGATATTCGATTTCGAAGTAAATCCGATTATTGTGTCATCCTATGGTAAACTGCCATTTTTTTTTGGAAAGCGAATATCTCGCAAAACACGTGTTCGTTTTCGTTGAAACTTTCAAGGTAATCTAATACCCATCAAACGCACCTATAGGTCCAATTTCAGGTCGGAACTCATTGTTTTTGATTTCTCGGCAATGCTTTGCTATCATCAAAAACTTCATTAAAACGTTCACAATTCTCTATCGGTAGGCTATGAGTCTGAATCTTTTATAAGCTTATCTTAGTTATACTAAGATCTACTCGTAGCCATAATATGAAGTTCAACGGTTGGATATGTTCCCTTGTTCGTAGGTTTGACAAAGAAATGACTCGGAAGACATTTCTATAAGAGAATGATTTGTGTTTTGGATAACTTTCATTGATATTTTGTTTTTTCTTCTATTCACTAAGCTATCTATCGTGAACCATCTTTACGAGGTAAGTAGCTATGCACAAATGCTAATTTAGCTTTAATATTAATTTTGAATTAAAAGTCTTAAATTATTATTTTATTAAAATTTTTGTTTTGAAATAAAAATCTTCTGGTTATATTTGTTTGTTCTTAGCTGGATCAGCAAAACATACTGATAAAACCCAAGGTACACGAATATTATCTCGAGATTTACTCAAAAAACGTAATCTTCTTCTTGCATTACTTGTAAGTTAAATAGAATGTTAATCAAATATTTATTAAAATTAATTTTTCTTTTACTAAGGCTTATGAAATTGAACGTTTGGAAACTTTTCATAATCCTTTGGGACGTGCTGATCTTCAAATTGATCAAAACACACAATCAACATATAGAAATTGGAAATTATATGATATGAATGCATTTTCAAATAAAGCATGGCGAGAATATGGACGTCTAGCTTGGTCTATTTCATCTGATTTAGCTATTAGTTTTTATTATGCGTAATTTAAAATCTAAATAATTAATTGAAAATAATAATATTCGAATTTTTTAATTTTAGTATTCCAAAAGACTCACTACGTAATGAAATTCAACAACTTGTTAAATCTAATCCATTACAAGTTCGACATATTCCAGAAGCTTTAAGTATTTTTACAGTTACATCAGATAATGATCGTCAATGTGAAGTAAATAGAATATTAAATAGCTAAAAAAGAGCGATTTCAATAAATATAAATTTTAGACATCTATTATTCTTACTTGGGCACCCATTGATCCTGTTACTGCACTTTCTTATTTTGCTAGTGCAAGACTTAATCAAGTTGCAAATTCATATACTATTCAATTTGCTTCTCGTATACTTTATATAACGAAACCCGAAGCACTTATTTTATATATTCCTCAATTGGTACAAGCTGTTCGTTATGATGAAGTAAGAATTTAAAAAAATTTTAATTATGTATTAATTTTTATTTCTTTTGTATTTTCTTTTAGATGGGTTTTGTACGTCGTTTAATCTTAGCATTGTCAGGAAAATCAAATTTATTAGCACATCAACTTATTTGGAATATACGAACGAATACATATAAAAATGAAACGACACCAGATAATGAAATGAAAGCGAAAATAGAACCGATAGCTCAACAAATTGAAGCTAATTTTAAACCTGATGCAAAGAAATTTTACGAACGTGTTTTTACATTTTCTGATAGATTAACTAAAGTATCGGATACAATTAAATCATTTCCAAAAGGAAATGATCGTAAACAAGGTATGAATCTCAACAAAAACAAGAATTCAAAAAGATCCAATAAATATTATAGATCGACTCGTAATGTCTATAGAACTGAATAATAAGACTTAGAATTCGAATATAATAGGTGATTGAAAAGCAATTTGATAAAATGTTCAATCATTTTTCAGTCTTTTGAAGAAGTCTGTCAAAATTTGTGTTCTTTTCATAATTTTTGATCAACAAAAAATTATTCAAAGTAGAATCGAAAATTATTTCAAACACAGCAAATGAAAGAGTCAATATTTCTCAATAAAATGATATATTAATGAACAATTTTGATACACTCAATAGTTAACTTATCATGACTTTCATTAGCCTAATCTTTAGATAGGAGCCTTGAAGTACAATCTAGTTCTTCAAAAATTAGGTGTGAATTTGAACACTATATTTTAGATTTCATACTCATCGAATTTAACAAAGGGTGTGGGTGTGGATGTGGGCGTAGGTGGGGTGTGAGTGTGAGTGAGTGAGTATGGGTGTTAGGAAAATAGGATCAACCACACCCACACCCACACCCCACACCCACCCACACCACCCACCCACACCCACAAAACAAAGTCATCCATTCAAAAATGTTGCTTCACATCTCTGATGGTTAATTTTAATACCATTTAAGAGTGATACTTTTGTAATCTGTTCCAAAGAATTTGGAATGCATAACAACCTCACATAAAAAGATAGGCAACGTTTGTTTGAACACCTACTGTTGCGAATACCGATAGAGTAACTACAAACTTCATAAGGGCAAACCTAATCTTCAAAGAGGCTCCTTTCCGTCGGCCCTACACTGAGTACAACATTGCTAGGTATTTAAAGAAATATATTAAAAAACGCAGTTTGTGATGTGTTTTCGTTTCTTGCAAATAGAAAGTTTAAAAATGAAAACTCTGATACCACTCATAACAATAGTTAATAGTATAGAGCTTTTTTTACATACTTCTTTAATTTATCAATTTTATTTTTTATTAGCTTGTCTTAAAGCTTTACGTGAACTCGGTAGTGAAGTACCAACTGGTGTTTATCTGCCGTCAAATCCAGAAGCAATTGTAATTTCATTATTACCAGAAAGTGGAGCACCAATGCAAAGGTAGAGAAAAAAATTAATAAAATTTTCAAAATAAATTTTCGTTCAAAATATTAGTGCGGCTAAAGCACCATATCGAGCAACATTTCGTGTTCAAACTGTTGGTATTGAACAAGTTGAACGTTGTGCTGATCCTGGCTATGAATTTATGCATGATTTTAGCAACCAATATCCACAAATGGCTATTTTTAAAGTTGGTGATGATGTTCGACAAGTAAAGATGACATTATTTTTTCCATACATGAATTTTTAAGAATATCTGTTGTCATTAAAGGATATTTTGGCTTTACAACTGATGCGTTTATTTCATAATATATTTGAACAAGAAGGATTAGAATTATATTTATATACATATCGAGTTATTGCAACAAGTCCCGGTGTAAGTATATGTTATTTTATTATTTAAAAAAATTAGAAAAATATTTTCTAGTGTGGTGTTATTGAATGTGTTCCAAATTCTCGTTCACGTGAAGATATTGGTAGAAATACAGAAGCTGGTTTATTTGATTATTTTCGACATGTTTATGGCAAAGATGATTCAATTAAATTTCAAAAAGTAGAAATGTTCTTTCTATCAAAAATCTTGTTTAACTGATAATTATTTAGGCACGTCGAAATTTTGTAATAAGTATGGCTGCTTATTCAGTAGCACTTTTTATGTTACAAATAAAAGATCGTCATAATGGAAATATTATGTTTGTATTTGTACAATTGAATATGATTATTTTCAAAATATGTTTTATTCATCTTTTTAGGCTTGATGATGAAGGACACATTATTCATATTGGTTTGTAATTAAATGTTTTGTTTTAAATATATTGATTATTTTTATTTTTCTAGATTTTGGTTTTATGTTTGAATCATCACCAGGTGGAAATATGAGATTTGAACCAGATATTAAATTAACTGCTGAAATGATTCTTATTATGGGTGATTTAACAGCTCCAGCATTTTTATGGTTTAAAGAATTATGTATTAAAGGTTATTTGGCATTGAGGTAAAAAAAATATCTTGTGTCAATCTCAAACATGATAGGAATTAGTTAGAAAATAAGTATACATTTATTATAGTGGGGAGATTTTATGAAACATGATCTAAAAGAAGTATTGAGGCGCAGGAATAAAAACTTGAATCCCCGCCGTCTCTCCCATAGACTCCACACAATAACTATCACAGGCGATGTATCCATAATGTCTCGTTATAATATATGACCTACATCCTTATTGTATTTCTGAAGGATTAAGTAAAAGGATGAGGGCTACATCGTATTTTACATTTTAAAGAGTCTTTACCTCTCAAAAAAACCTAACTTCGACAGAGTAATGAGATATTGATGAAACTTTGTATAGAATATCAAGCTGCAGAGCTCGAATTGCTTTCATTTTAAAAAGAACTCTTTACCACTTTGAATGAAAAAAAGGTTTGTTTTTATTTTATTTTTTCGATTAACGAAACTTCAAAAGTCTAGCAATACTAAGCATGATTTTCTTGAAAACTCACAGTTTCTCTAACATTGACAATTAATTATATAAATTCCTTTCTTTCATCTCAAGCATTATGCATGTATCTATCGATAAAATAGAAACACAGCTCTCTAGAATGAGTCTACCTATTATTACTTAAAATGAAGATGACGTAGAACTATATTGCACGCAGATCGAAGCACTTATCTATGTGCAATTGATTGTTCTTGTAACCAATGCATCACAATAGATGATGCCATTCAACAACGTAATAAAGATAAGAAAATTAAAAATTAATTTTTTTAAATTCACTTATTGTCTTATGGTGTTTTTAAGAATGATAGTGATGGTTAGTTTTTACTAGTAACTCCTAAGAAATATGGTATTTTATTTTACAGAAAACATATACTTTGAGGGTGTGAGTGAAGAGAAGATCCACACCTACACTCACAAGTCACTGGAAATCTTAAAAGTATTTCTGTCATCAGGAAACCACCTGAAGTGATACTTCAAGTTTAAGATGTGGAATTATAGCCGTTGTACTGCATTTTTTTACCTTTGATGACACGGTACTTATAAGACAAATCGTGCCTAAGGTAAAAAAACTCAATATAATGGTCATAACTCTAAAACAGCACCATATGGGGAAGAATCTCTCTAGATTTCTTCTAATCTCAATAGGTCTTATGTAATAACTAGAGCATTATGCCAAACGCAAGGTATTACATCGGATTGTTTCCTCGTAAGATGCGCAAACATTATCATGTGTTCAGACAGTTTCAAAGATTATTCATAAACCCCTCCAAAAAATTTCGGCAATCAAAACTATTCTTTTGACGAATATTGAGTTTTCTTAGAGAGATCCACTTTCATTCAGGAAGAATTCCGTTAAAATAGATTCTAATAAGAAGAAAGAAGTTTTAAGAAACTCTCAAAGTCAAATTTTGTTCTCGATTCATAAAGTGTTAGACATGTATCAATCATTTTATTTTACTATTTTTCTTTTCTATACTCTAGGCCTTATCGCCAACATTTTATAACACTTGTTGCATTAATGCTAGATACTGAATTACCATGTTTTCGTGGTCATACATTAGAACAATTAAATGCTCGTCTTAAACCTGATTCAAGCGAAACTGAAGCAGCTCGTTATATGCATGAAGTAATTAATCGTTGTGCACACAGTTTAAGAACACGTATTTATGATTACATTCAATTTCAACAAAATAAAATTCCTTATTAAAATTTTTTCTTATCTATTTATCACACTATTTTTGATTTCATTCTTTATTCAGGAGCTCGTTTTTTTTTTGTGTTCTTGGGATATTTGTACGATAACACAATCTTTCTTACAGTTATATACGTGAATCCCTGTGCTTTTTTTAAAAACAGCAACTTTATTTATTTTTTATTCGAAAAAAAAAATTGTATCTTCCCTGATTGTTTATTGTGTTCAATCGCTTTTTCTTTGTATTATTAGAATTTATTTTGTGCATTCGCAGAAAAAAATAGGGGAAAATATATGTTTGATTAATATAATACGCGGTTGGGATTATACGTCGAAGGAAGAAAGAAGAAATCAACAAAACGCAATGAGTCAAAATCGAACAATATCAATTTACCGCATATAAATATCTTTTAATGTCTATGAATGAGTTTGATAAGTAATAAATTCGAAAGTACTTGCATTAGTAAACAGTTCAACTAGTTTCACATGATTGCTTCATTCTATAAGACGAAGTATGCATGAATTTCTCGAAATATTTTCATTTCATTTGACATCATAGATTGAATGCGTTATTGGAATGAATAGGTATTGTCGAAGTACGATTTCATTTTCTTACTTGTTTATTGCTATATATTTCTGTAAGGTTATATATCTATGTCTAAGCCGATGTATCGTTGATAACAGAACTTATCTGGTCATTTACGATTAGGCTGATGTTGTAAAATCCGTTATTGCACGTTTTGTATCTTATCATTCTTGGAAGATTTCTGCTTGAGTCACACAATAATAATCATTCGTAGTCCTATAGTAATGCTGAGAGTGCGATCTTGATTAATTTTTTAATAGGAGCTTATAAAAAATCTATTATGTATATGATGTTCTTGGATCAGAGATGAGCACAGAACAAGATTTTCCGTCCTGTCCTGTCCTTTATTAACCCCCATCCTGCCGCTCAGCAGGACAGGACAAAATTTTTAGTTTCTTCCTGTTCTGCTTACCGCACGCTGTTTTTCTATCCTGCCACTCCGCAGGACAGGACAGAATACTAAGCGGTAAAAATAATGCATGTTTTATTTTTTCTTAAGTAAAGCATATATTGCATTTCTCAGAAATTCTATGACCAACTTATTCCTTTATACTTTTCATTCATCACAATTCTATTCTTAAATAACAGTTAAGCCAATAAGAAGTAAAAGTAAAGATGAGACGTCGATGTTATGATAAGAGAACGAAGAACAATAGTTATACATTGTTTACATTTGTTATGCATATTTTCTTTTTTCTTCCCGATTTGACCATCTTATCGGCCAATTCGGAAATGATTNCACAATTCTCTTCTTAAATAACAGTTGCGCCAATAAGAAGTAAAAGTAAAGATGAGACGTCGATGTTATGATAAGAGAACGAAGAACAATAGTTATACATTGTTTACATTTGTTATTCATATTTTCTTTTTTCTTCCCGATTTGATCATATAATCAGCCAATTCGGAAACGATTGTACTTCTTCAATTAAAGAATAATGACATCTGTCACTGATAGCGAATATCAGCTGTTATTAACGATGATAAGTATCAGAAATAACTACAGTACAACATCTTCCATCCGGTCCTGTTCTATCCTGTGTAATCCTATCCTGCCGCTCAGCAGGACAGGACAAAAATTTTAGTATCGTCCTGTCCTGCAGGACAGGTCAGGATACAGGACGGCCGCACCGCCCCGTCCTGTGCTCATCTCTATCTTGGATATGCCATCTGAATTTCTGATTCTAGAGTTCTCGAAAATCGATGAGTCAACTATTAACTTTGAGTTTGTCAGTTCTTGACTGAAAAGTATGACAACCGTTCTCAGGTGATCAAAACAACTATTCAAATAGATCAGTTGCTGAGTTCGGTATTATTATTAAACTATTATACCCCTAGTGAAGATAAACAATTAAATCGTTTGTATAGAAACTTCCTTTTTAAAATAAATAAATCTTTATTTTTAATTGTTCAAAAAAAAGCGACGATAGACTTACTCAGAAAGACCATTATTTAGAAAAGAAAACAAAAAAACAGAGAAGAAACTTGAAGTTTAAAACAAACAAAAGAAAAAGAAACTGAAATGTCAATTTGTCAAGTAATGTAACATATATATATTGACGTATAGAAGATTGCGATAAACAAAAATTCATCTATGACTCAATCTTTCTACATTGAAAAATTATTTGTACTCAGTTTTTCTTTCATTTTTTTCTTAATATTATGTTGACATAATCAAATTCACTTGAATCAAACAAATTGAATAACAATGAATACACAATTGATAATAATTCATGACTTGATATATTTTCAAAAGTAACTATTTTGCTATTTAGTTAACAGAAATATTATTTTTACAATCGTGATATTTGATAAATCATTTGAATACAATGAGAATTAATGTAAAATGTGTAGAAAAATACTCGAAAAAAGAAAGTTCTTCCACTTATTTCATATTGTACATATGATATTCGACATTCGTTCATTAAAATGCAATAGATTATCCAAGAAAGATATACTCTTGATATCTAGTCAAAGTTACAATACAGAAATGGAACTATGCTTTAAAATATTCAAGTACAGTGACCAATTGAAAAAAAAATGAGATAGTAAAAAATTATACATTTGGAATAGATGACCAAAGAAATAGCTTTTACGTCGAAATCGTGATGAAGTAAACATGAAGAAAAAATTACAGATTGCTCATATCAGTCATTTTATGGAAAATAGAAATTGAATTTTTGAACGGTATTAACGGACTTAAAGGAAACGATTTTTATCATTTTTTTTTCTCAGCAAAATCGAATTTATACTATCTCATATAAATTTACAATAAACAATATTTTAATGAGAACTAATTCGCTATCGACTTGCAAAAACAATATTATTTTTTAAATATTTAATCATTTCTTTCGACACATTTAAATCAATTCAACAATTTTCAAGTAGCTAAATAGATTCTTCTCTCATGAGAGATACTGACCTAAGCATGTGACTGGTTATCCGATATCTTTGTTTTTTCAATTTGATACTTTTTATATCCAACTAAGAATTCAAAGCATTCCGATTGTCTTATTGATATTTGTATAGTACTTCAACTTATTTTGTTGCCAATATATCTTTTATATATAGAAGAAGAAAAAAAGAAGAAAAAGCGAAATGATAAATTCATTCCTGAACATTTTTTAAAAAGAAAATCAGCACACATATAAAGCCACAACATAAGGTTTCATTCATATTTAGCACGTTGAATATGTCCACACACTCGGTAACAATAAAGACAAAGAAAAACAAAACTAATTCACAAATAAAATATGCATATTTCTATTTGAGAACTCTATATTGTTCAATTATTCATTAATTATACGTAGCTCAATAGATAATTGTTATGTTATTTCTTTTCTTTCTTTTTTTCTAGAAAACGAATAATAGAAGCAAATAAATAATTGATATACACGCACACAAAGAAAATGATACGTTTAATTTTATCTATTTTTTATTTTTAGCAACTGTTTTTGATATCCATTCAAGACCTTCCTAAAGAAAAATAAGACAAAAATATAATTGAGATTTAATAAACAATAAATATAGCGTGTCTTACTTTAACACCTTCTTTTGTATAAGCTGAACAACCTTGGATTTGCCACGGTCGATCTCGAATTTGATGTAATGACAAACCATCAGTTATATCTGATGCTTTAGCAGCATTTAGTAAATCTTGTTTATTAGCAAAAACAAGTAATGGTACACCATGTAATTTTTCTTCTTCTAATAATTCAGATAATTCCTATAGAAATAGAAAAAAAAAAGTTACTAATGATGAACATGAAAATCGATCTTGGCCAATCAATATATGTTCTAGAGAATATATTCATCACATGGTAACAATCTTTATATCATGTTTAAATTTGCATGAACAGTATGCGGCTCAAGAAATTACTATTTGAATACCGAATATATTAAGATGAAAATTATGTTACTGTTTTACTAATCATTACCGATATCTTTCATTACTATCTGTTGAAAAATGCTTTTATTTTTATAATACACAAGAATGATTTTCACGCTTCATACCACTTGGAACAAAGGATAAAGAAAGTAATTGAATGTGGATTTATATATGATCAAAAGAGAATATGATCTTATAGTTTATCTCTGCCTGAAAAGTTTTCCTAATTAATATTTCAATTATTCTATTCAATTAACAAGAGATTATCAAGTGAAGTATTTTGTGAATGCAAATCTGATAACTCGCAGTTGGATAGATGAAAAAACTTCATCATTACCTTTAATATTCTTTCGTTTGAAGAACTCTTGAGGTTTCAAATAGAAGAAGAACTACTAAGTCAATTTATACTATCGAATCTTTTGTGAAAAACTATTTCGATATCCATACAAATTTTTAATAAATACATACTTGATTTGTTTCATCAAAACGTTTTCGATCAGAACTATCAATAACATAAATCTAAATAAAAACTAAATAGTATATAGAAGAAAATTAATATTTTTCATACTAAAACATCCGTATTTTCAAAATAATTACGCCAATATGGACGTATTTTTCGTTGGCCACCTGTTAAATGAAATCATCAAATGAGAAAGAAACGAATGATATTTTTACCGATATCCCAAACATTAAGTTTAAATCCAGTTGATTGCACACTTTTAATATTAAAACCTTGTGTTGGTGTTATATGTGAGATATCTTCGGAAGCGAGAACTTTGAGTAATGTTGTCTAAAAAATTTTCTTTGTAAGTTCATTTATTAATAAAGTTAAAACTCATACTTTGCCGGCATTATCTAGACCCAAAAGTAATATACGAAGTTCATTTTGCCGTGCGGGACGGAGATTTCGTATTATATCAAGCAATCCCTAAGAAGAGCTTATTTATCATTTTATTTTCTTTTATAAATTTGTTACCATAATGTGTATAAAACCACGAGAGATTAGACTTGTATGGGTAGATCTTTAAGAAAGAAAAAATAATACTCTAAATGATGTAGTACGTCATTACAAGAAAAAAAATCGAAACATTTTTCAAAAATTGAGGAAGAACAATAAAGATTATTCATGAATAGAAAAAAAAAGAAATAACGATGACACTATGGCGTCATGCAATATCCATAGTAGATATTGTATCGACGCAGCCTCTAGCGTTGTCAAGTTTTCTAAACGCATAAAATAATTCAAGTTCAATTAAATAAAATAACGATTATTAGTTTTTAAGTTATTTGATCGAATTTACTCACGTAAAAATCATGTAGATAATCAGCAACTCACTCCCTCTATCGACATTCGAATGAAAACTTAAATGGTCAAAAAGCTTTCTTTAAAGCAAACCTTGTGATACAATTTAGTCCCTTGATGAGGAAACTAAAATAAAATACGTTTTCTTAATAAAAACATTTTCATTTGATATGTTTTGCTGAATTAGAATAATAATATAGGAATATTTTTCTTATAAAGTTCGTTCACCTACCCATGTCCTTGAAATCGCTAAAAAAAATTGACGATTAATCGCGATATATCGAAACGATAATCGTGCGCTTAAACACGATTACTCGTCGCTTTTTTGCGGTAATTTTGATGGTTTTTGCGATTAATCGTAGTTTTTTGATCGATTTCCTTTCCCTATCGTACAATTATAGGCAAGTTTCGATGCGTTTAATCTGGATTTTATAGACATTTTTAGTGCTTCCTTATATTGAATCAAATTGTTCGAATAATTTATCCAAAACGATGAGCACGCATACTATTTCACATGAGCAAAGTATAGAAGAATATAAAAAACTGATACCTTATGCAATCACTCATGATTGGTGACCGCCATGACTCACGGGTATTGAAATAGTCCAGAACATCCAGAGGTTCAGCACTGAGGAGAGATAGGCGGATCTTCGCCAGGTTACCCTACCTCCCCTCTGGTCATCACTTTTAACAAAATACGAAAACTCTTTTCAATAGCTCTTTCTGGGAAGTTTTTCTTTATGTTGAGAAACCAGAAGCAAGGGTCGTGACTCATGGTCACGGGCTGGAATCACCGTGATCGTGACCAAAAACAGTTGTTCATGCCGTGCGCTACTCATGATAAAACCAGAACACACTTTACGGAAATAAATAATAAAGAGTTCATATGTACGAGTTGATATTCCGGATTGAGTTGTTTGAGGAACATTGGCTGTACGGTCGCTTCTTGTATGAAATATATATCTGAAATACAGAAAAGACATATACATCTAAAATAAAGAACAATACTACAAAGGTTACGGCACAGAATTTAATTGTGAACGGAGAAAGATAAATTTTTCAACGTGACATTAGTCAATAATAGAAATATTCATCTGAAACGCAATTTAAGGGACAATTCTAATCCAAAACAAATTAATCTGAAACAATATAAAATAATTCTCCATTATAGAAAAGATGTTTTGAATTCAAACTAGATACCTGAATTGAATGTGAAGCTGTTCAGTTCAGTTGCTCGGACCGAGTAGAGGTTATCAGGGGTGCTCTTTCACTTGATCGGAACAAAAGTATACATTGTCTTTATAACAACTGACTTCCATATTCAATATGTAGAAGAAGCGCTCAAGTTTATTTGAGCGCCGATAAGTGTGAGCTGTACATCCCTACTTGGTTGTCGGTTTTTCTCCTGTTAACTTATTCTATCAATAATGGTGATTTAGTGATTTTACTCTGTACTTGCTCCATTTGTCAAAAATCGACTGATTGCCATACCCAGTTCTTTCATTCAGAACTGGCGAGCAGTTTTCTCGTTCGTTTCAAAAGACCTGGGTGCTTGACACAAGTTCAGTTCTTTGATCGGGAACTATCACAGGTCTAGCAGGAACGCAAGATCTTTTTCATTAAGTAAGGACGAATGGCTTACTAATATATGCACTATTAATAGGCAAAGAATGCTTAATCTATAAAAATGTATATATCAATATGTTATCTTAAAGAATCTAAAATAAATTTGAATGTTTGTTTTGCCTTCAGTTTTGTGAGGGCTTATCTACGTCAAAATCAAATCAATAAAGTAGTGAATTGATTCTACTTCTTGGATATAATCATGGTAATCAAATATATTTCAATATGGGTGTGACAATAGCGGATTTACATGGTTGCAATTGCTCTGAACACCGAACTATTATTCGATTGTTCTTAGCGTAAAACGCTCAAAAATGCGTCGATTAGACTTATAATGAACTTCAAAACCCGTGTTGTGATTGCGATCACTTCCAGTGAGCAGAACCCTAGATCCATTGCTAGGGCGAGAGTGCTATTGAGGCTATAAAGACAAAGACATTCATATTCACATT